TTCTCAAGACAGAGTTAGTTGCTCCCTCCTTTGTGATCCCTCAATACTTGTCTACACTTCTACCAAAGTGTCTATCACATTGTTTTATCTCCCCCTTTTCTCTCATTTGACTGCAAGCAAATTTAGGATAGAGATTTCATCCTATGTAACTTGAATATTCAGAACTTAGCAGAGTGCCTGGAACATAGTAATGTTTGGTGAATGCATTGAATGAGTACTGAGACATCTCCCAAGGCAGGAAGGAGACAATGGGCCAAGCACTCCCCATCACTAAAGGGATGTACTGTAGGCTGACACTACATAGGAATATTTTTGAGGAAGAGATCCCCTAAACGTCCCAGGGGTTCCAGGTTTGGAAGCAAAGAGGCTTTGCTTTGTCATAAATAAAGGAATGGGGGGGGCAGTATATGAATTGCTGGATGTCATCCCCCAGACCAAACGTGGAAGCCATATGTTGAAGATAGCAGTCAGTCTTTGAATGATTGTAGATCAGAGGGCCTTCCCATCCCTATCAATTTCTAATTGGGCCTTTGAATTTCTAATTAAATAAAAAATAAACTCTATTGTGTTAGTCCTCTGAGATCTCAAGATGTATCCATCACAGGATCTAGCAATACGTTATCTATTTAGAAATTGAGGTTACATGTGGTTATAACAAAAACCTAAAATCTGTTGCTTTGGCTTACCAACTGAACAGTGAATGATGAAGAAATGAAAATCAAAGGCTACAAGGCTATGCCATGCAAATATTTAGTAAAAATGGCACCTCTGATGATTGATGTATTAGCTCACTGTTGCTGAATAACAAATCACTCCAGAACTTAGTGGCTTCAAACAACAATGAGCATTTATCATCTCTCACAGTTTCTGTGGGTCAGGAATTCTGGAGAAGCTTGGGGCCTCTCATGAGGTTGCAGACAGATACTGACAGGGCCCACAGCTGGGGTGGTAGGACCAACTCACTCACATGGTTACATGATTAGCAAGTTAGCGTGGGCAGGTTGGTTGCTTTTGGGTCTGCTTGAGGGTCTCATGAGCTGGTGGCTGCTTTCCGCTAGAGCAAGTGATCCAAGAGATCAAGCAAAATCTTCCAGGTCTTTTATGACCGAAACTTAGAAGTCACATACCATTCTTTCCATCATATTTTATTAGCCATTTTCCCTCAGACTGTTCCAACTCCTGTGGAAAAAATGAGGAGGAGGATGATTTGAGGTAAAGCCATCAAGTATGGTTCCCTTTTCTTTGTTTTAATGATTTCATTGTATATAGGATATGTGTTTTAATCTGCTCCAAATGCTCTTGGAAGTGGGCAGGATTTGAACAGATGGTAACTATAATGCTAATTCCAGGTGGCTGGGCAGTTGCAACCATGAGGAAAGCCCTCAGCCATGGATGATGTCTGGTCATGACTCCTTAGGCTAGGAACAGAGTTTCAAGGGGCTTCCCCTCCCTGCAGCTACTCTTTCTCTAACACTCAGCTTTCCTGAAAAATGTTCAGTTTTTCTAATTCATCCAGGTTTTCCAGGTCTACTTTTCTACCTTTTTCACTTGTTACAGTTATCATCTCTACACTGGCTGGACCTATAGATGTAAGAAAGACCAAGGAATCTCTAGAATTTAATTAGATTAATAAAACCAACAGAAAATGGATGAGATCAAATAAATGCAAGTGAGCTAAACCCACAGGATATAATGTGACCCAAAAAATCCTCAATCACATCTTTAAGGCAGACACAATGACAAGGGGTATTCTTATGGCATTATGACAAATATGGACATCTCTAATGTATCTCAGATCAGAACTTCAACTTTCTCCAACCTCTTTTTTCATGACTGTATCAGACTGAAACCATAATTTCTAGGACAACTCTGTATTATTCTTGAGTTGCATACGAATTGTCTTCCCTTCAAATATTTTTTTAGCTATTCACTTATCCAGTAGCCAAAGACCCTCTTGACTTTTTAAAAGTCCTGTTGAGCTAACAACTGTGTCTAGTTGGGTTCCACACATATACTGAGACAGATGAGACGCTCATCTTTACAGATGAGTAAGAGACAAGGAAAATAACAACAAAGAGACAGTTAACAACCTGGAGAAAACAAACAGTGGACACTAGAAATAAAAGAATAGCATAATTTCAAAAGATATTTACTTAAGCTTAAATAAATAAGCTTAAAATCTGTTTTGTGAGCTCAAAAATTTTAAAAGAAAACATGAACTCTGTAAAGCAAGAAATGAAACAGAAGATAATAAGATAGTAGACTGAGTTGGAAAAGAAGCTGGCAGAGTTAGTAAGCAAAGTCACAGCAGAATTTAAGAATAAGGAGCAAAATTAGCAATACATAAAGCAAAATCAGTACTTTAAAGAATCACGACATCAGGAAATCTCCCAGAATGCCAAGAGGAGGAACAAAGGCATGAAAATTATCACAGAGGAGGTAATAGACATGGAGTGAAGGCCATAGAAATCCAACATAAATATGGGTCCTCCTGAAAGACAGTCAGGACAAAAGAACCATAAACATCAAAGATCTAATGGGACAAAGCTTCCTTAGAAAGTCTGATAAAATACCTGAAATCATAAATTGGAAGGAACTGATTATGTCCCAGACAGACATATGTCCCTAGACAGACATAATCCCACAAATTTAGAAATACAGGAAAACAGCCCCTGATAATGTTTGTGTACTGCTAATAAATAGTTATGTTTTCACCTTCTAGTCCAGTTATGAACATAGGATAGGATCCTATACTCCCCATAGGTGGCAAGGCTTCCCATGAAGAAAATGGATATTTCAATTTCAAATCCTGAGAAGAGAAAGATTCTAGGATGAGAAAAGAAATAGAAAGAAGAAGGAACTCCTTTCTCTCCCTAAGCCTCATTCTTATTCCAACTCATTCCAACAAGTGCCAATGTGCTCAATATGCTTCCAAAAGAAACAAAACAACCATGTCTGCCATATAGAGGCAAGTCAGGGACTAAGTTAGGGAGTTAATGAGTTAGTACATGTCAAGATCTAAGAATAGTATCTGGCACATAGTAAGCACTTGGTACATATTAGCTATTATCACCATCATAAATATTATTCTATGTGATATAATAACTACCATAGTCTTGTGACATAAGACTGGCAAAGTTCTATTGTTAAATGCTGTACCTTAGGCTCAGCTGGGATTCAGAGATTTAAGGGAAGTGTTTGTGCACTTGGCCTGGAGGGACTGAGAGGAGAGATCTCCTTTCCTGTCAAAGGCCATTGTTGGTCATGGGGATTGATAATAGCTCTAATGGGAAAGAAGCGAAGGTGAGGACAAAAAAAGCAAGAACTCATAGCTCTCAGTTTCAGCCATCCCTCCCAGTACTTTGAGAGGTGAGTCAATTGGACATAAATCTAGTGTGAAGGTTTCTAGTCACATTCTGCAATCAAAAGCAAGGGGTAGTAGTTCTTTGGGTCACCAAGACCTGTCCTTGACCTGGATACAGGTGTTACAGTAAAAATCCTGAATGGTGCCATTCAGAGCTTTGCACAGGGCTGGGGCCAGTGGGATGGCATGCCTTTCTCTGCTGCCAAGTTCACTGAGACCCTGATCCCCACCATGCATCCCAGTAAGCCACCAAGGTGAACTATTAGCCTTGATATGCTCTCCCAGAATTCTGCATTATCACACAGCCTTGAATCTCAGATGAATTAGATGAAATTCTAATTCATCAAGTAGCATCCGTGTGGTCATCTACCTGCCTCCCTGATAGAAGTAGCCAAGGACACAAAGTTCTTTGACTTGACTCTCCCATAGTAGGGCTACCTCCACAGCTTCCTAGCCTTCTGGATAAAGGATTGGACATCTGACAGGTAGTTTGGACTGCTTAGTACGGCAGAGTTCAATTCCAATAAATTGTGTGTAATAAATCAGTGTGTAATAAATCAGTTACTCAGATTGCAGTAGTCTAAACACTCAGGTCCTCAATGCCAGGTGCACACTAGGCTGTGCTTCCGGGTATGGACTATAGCAGCTCCCACACTGGGTCATTGCCCTAGTAGGAAGCCACCGTCTAATGCTATGAGACTACAGGCACTACAGGATTACCTAGAGCCCGAGGGCAAAAGGATAAGCCTCACAGCAATGCATTAAGCCTTCATGAAATGAGTATCAAATGGATGAAGTAGTGATTCAGTCCGTATTTGAGCAACTCCAAGGGAGGGGGACTATTTCCTAAAATAATTCATCTTCAGACCCTTAAAGAATTATTCCTTGTTTTGAGTTAAATCTAGCTTTGTTTAACTTCCAGTCCTTTGTCTAACATATATTTCCAGGGGCCGTATCAATTCTACCCATTCTTTCACACGAAGATAGCTATCATGTTCCTGAGTCTCCTTACTTCAGTTCCTTCCATCTGTCCTCATCTGGTGGCTCTCCTCTGGGCATGCTCCAATACATCTCTGTGCCTCTGAAAGTGTGGTACAAAAAGTGCAGTACTCCAGGTGTGGGCTGATTGTTACCAAGTTCGATGAGATTATCACTCCTGTTAGAGATGGTGTTCCTTTTTTTTCTTTGTTATCACCTCAGAAATTTACTTGTTTATCTATATTTGCTAAAAATATCATCTGCCTCTCCACTCTTTCTTACCTGTAATTAAGTAGTTGTTTGGGTAGCCAAGTGTTAGTAACATTTAAAACACAATGCCTCAGTTATGGTCTATCTAGCTCATTATAATCATTAACTTCATCTTATTAACCATGACCACTACAAAATGGAATTACCACTTAAAATAAGATATTAGCTCAGGCCCCACCATCTTTGGCCTCATAAATAAAATGCTACCTTGCATTACATCAGCTTTGGGATTTTCAAACCACCTAATTGTATCCCGCCTCTTTTAGCCAGGACATCCATAATTGAGCCACACCCCCAGAACGTCCGCTCCTTGACCCCGCCCCCAGGGCCTCTCCTCCCAGGAGCCTCGCGTCCGCCCCGCCCACTCTTAGCTCAGGGCGGGAAGCACTGGATAGAGGCGCGGATTGGCTGACTGGGGCGCAGCTTGATGGCGTCGGGCTGGCTAGTCGCGGTCCCCGCGGTGTCCCCCGGGCGAAGGCCGCCTTTGTGAAAGGGCCTGTAGCCCGAGCTTGCTGCGGTCACAGGGAGTGGAAAGTGGAGGCACGAGCCTTCCCTTCACCATGAGTTTCCTGATTGACTCCAGCATCATGATTACCTCTCAGGTGAGCTACTGCCTCCCACCCCTGGACCCCTCAGCCACTCTTCCGTGAATTGTCTTCTCGGAGTTTCAGTGGCGCTGGCTGGCCCAGAATCTCGCTGCCCTCGTCCTGTGTCTGGACCTGCCTCTTCGGTTCCCAGAGCTCGGGGAGGGTGTGGGATTTGCTGAGTCCGATTTCCTCAGCCCTCATAGTGGGAAGGCGTCCTGTGGCCGTCCGCTCCCCCACCCACCCTGTATCTCCCCTCTCTCTCGTCCACTTTTGGAGAGAATCACACGGCCTCAGCGCTCATTGCCGGCGCCGCGAGAAAAGAGCGGCCCCCAAATCCCCCGAAGCTTCTGGCCTGCGCCTCTCACCCATGGATCGGGGAAGAATGTGGTTCCGCGCGCGGAGTACGGAGCAGGCCAATGGGAGCTGCCTCCTGGGGACACGTGGGGACCTTGCTGGTTAGTTGTCAAATCCTGAATCCCCGTTTGCAGGAATTTGCCATGGTCAGCTCAGAGACCTTAAAAGTACTTAAGGTTTGGTTTGTGCACCAATACCTCATCCTTTAATACTCTTTCTGCTTCGGATCTTTTTCTTAACCCTCCCTTTTTTACCCATTGGGCACCTTCATTAATTAGCACAATCAGCAGGCTTTTATAAACCATTTTATAAAAACTCTGAGGGTACAAACCTAAATAAACACTAATTCCTTGTTCTGTACAAGTTATGTCTAGAAAGCCTCTTGCTTTTTTTAAATTTAAATCCAATTAATTAACATATAGGTATTAGTTTCAGAGTTTAGTGATTCATCAGTAGCATATAACACCCAACTGCTGATTACTCAGTTACCTCCCCTCCAGCAACCTTGTTTATTTCGTATAGTTAAGAGTCTCTTAGGGTTTGTTTCCCTCTCTAATTTCGTCTCACTTTAGTTTTTCCTGCCCTTCCCCTATGATCCTCTGTTGTCTTTCTTAAATTCCACATATGAGTGAAATCATATGATAATTGCCTTTCTCTGAATGACTTATTTTGCTTAGCATAATACCCTCTAGTTCCATCCAGGTCGTTGTAAATAGCAAGGTTTCATTTTTTTGGTGGCTGAGTAATATTCCTTTATATACATATAAAGGAATATATATTTTATATATATATTGTATATATAGAATATATACAATATATATATATCATATCTTCTTTACCCATTCATCTGTTGATGGATATCTGGGCTCTTTCCATAGTTTGGCTATTGCAGACATTGCTGCTATGCATGGGTGCATGTGCCCTTCCGATTACTATGTTTGTATCCTTTAGGTAAATACCTAGTAGTGCCATTGCTGGACGATAGAGTGGAAGCCTCTTACTTTTATCAGCTTTCATTCGTTCAGCTACTCTGTTTTCTTCATAGCATTTATCGTAGCTCTGATATTTATGTATTTATTTTTTGGGGTCCTCTTTTGTCCAAGTCTTATCCCCCTGCCTTTAAGTACAAGTACTAAACACAAGTATTGGCTAGCCAACTGTTAATATTTGTGGAAGCTCAGACTATCTAATTATTAATTTTTACCTCCTCATTTCCCCAATAGTTTAGAGTATATTTCAAGTGGCAAATGACAGAAACAGTTCCTTTTGAGGGTTTAAATGAAACTAAATCTTTGATCCAGTTTCCATAGTCCTTCATCCTAATGCTTCTGTCTTTGAAACAGAGCGCTGTCCATGGCTCTTGAAAAACTTTAAATACAACATTTTAGAAAATATGAAACAAGGAACACTCTAATAAGATAACTTTTAAAATTTACCATCCTTTATATCGTTTTCATAATTGTTTTTATTGGCTGCATAATATTCAAATTTATTAACACAAAAATCTGGACACGTAATTCTCTTATTTTTCTAACTTTCTTAAGCTTTTCTAATTTTTCTAAGGCTAATTGCCCTTCATGACAATTCAGGTTTCAGCCCTACTACTGACTTAGGAAAAATGACAATATTTCAGTAGCTTTTTTTTTTTTTAATTCAATTTTTAAAAAAGAATGTGGGTGAGGAAATTGGCATTATATTGTAGCATCTTAAGATTTTTTTTTTAAGATTTATTTATTTATTTGACAGACAGAAATCACAAGGAGGCAGAGAGGCAGGCAGAGAGAGAGGAGGAAGCAGGCTCCCCGCTGAGCAGAGAGCCGGATCCTGGGATCACGACCCCATCCGAAGGCAGAGGCTTTAACCCACTGAGCCACCCAGGCGCCCCAACATCTTAAGATTTTTAACACAGACATAATAAATTGAAGCAAGAAAGTGGCTTTCGTATCTTTTTACGTTATATAATACTTTAACACATGAATTTGCATGCAATAGTAAATATTTAATGCTCTTTACAAGTGAGGAACTAAGACCCAAAGAGTCATTTGTGTGGACTGTTCTCTGACCTTAATTTTTATGTAGCTCCTTCATCATTGTTTTGGTATCAGTAAAAATATCACTTTAGAGAGGTTTGTCTTGACTCCCTACCCCCATCACAGTAGCACCCATTCTAGCCACCTTCAATCCCATTTTCCTGTTTTATTTTCTTCTTAGCCTCTATCACTATTATTTGTGTCTGCTATTTGTAAACTTCATGAGGTCCATGTTATTCTTTCTTATTCTCTGCAGTATTCCCCAGCATCTAAATCAGCTGCTGATACATGGAAGCCTAGTAAATATTAAGTAAATAGAGATGTAGTTATGTTAGAAACCCCTCTTCCTCATTTTTCCTGTTTTATATGAACTGAAAGGTTTAGTTTAAATGAAGTCTGTGGGGCACCTGGCTGGCTCAGTCTGTAGAGCATGCATCTCTTGATCTCAGGGTCATGAGTTTGAGCCCCATGCTAGGCATGGAGCCTACTTAAATAAAATTAACTAAATAAATATTTCAGACTATTTATTTTTCTTGAAATGGTCAGCTGTTTGTGCCATTCCCCTCGTAATTTATCTGAATCTCTATCACTGTCCTCAAAGCCCCCCTTTCCCTCCTCATCTCTTAAAACTCTTAGCAGGTAACCTTGCCTCCTATATCAGTAAAAGTGAGGACAAAAGATATAATCTCCTTCTACGTCCTAGGTCTTAATCTAAGCCATTATGTATGTCTACAACCATCCCAGCTGCCTTCCTCCCATGTCAGAAAATAAAGTGCCCCTTTCCCCTTCTTAAGGTCATCCTCTCCACCTTTGATCTTAGCGCAGCTTATTATAAAGTGCTTAAAAGCACAAGCTTTGAAATCAGCTTACATACTTACATACAAACTTCAGATTTGATCCTGATTTTGACAATTACTATAAATGAATTAACTTCTATAAACCTCAGCTTTCTCTGAAGTGAGGATAATCACACATACTTCAGGTTTTTAGGATTTAATGAGATTACAGTGCTAAGTACTTAGAGTTCCTAGAATATAGTAAATGGTCAATAAATGTTAGTTGCTGCTAATCATAGTAAATTATTAACACTGTCGATTAGCTTTCCTTGTAAACACCTTTGCCCCAAGTATTTTTGCCACATAACTAACTGGTCTTAAGGCAATTTTATGTAAAATATAAACTCGCCAAAAATAAAATGGGACATTGATTTAAAAGGACATAATGAAATGTAAAAAATGAATAACAAAATTAAAAAGACTTTATTGTGAAATACAAAATATTTGAATACATCCAAAATATGTAGTGTAGATTCCTTCTCACATGTGTTCACCTGCCCCTTACTCTACTACTTTCTTCCCCAAGGCCTATAAACTTTTTCTTTTCCCTACCTCCTTCTCTAGGCTACTATCTAATGTTTTCTCTTTTTCATACTTTTTAAACAATTTTTTATTTTGTTTTTTAATTGAAGTATAGTTGATACACAAAGTTACATTAGTTTGAGGTGTACCAAATAGTACTTGGTCATCCACCAGTCTTCTGAGTTACCCTGTGCTCACCACTAGTGTAGCTACCATCTGTCACCATACAATGCTATATTCTCTAGGTTGTATCTTTCCCTGTGATGTTCATTCCATAACTGGAAGCCTGTATCTCCCACTCCCCTTCACCTATTCTGCCCACCCCCCCACTCCCTCCTCTCTGGCAACCATAAGTTCTCTGCATTTATGGGTCTGTTTCTGCTTTGTGTTTATTTGTTTTGTTTTTTAGATTCCACATATAAATGAAACCACATGTTATTTGTCTTTCTCATCTGACTTAATTTCACTTAGCATAATACCCCGTAGGTCCGTCTATGTTCTTCAAATGTCAAGATATCATCCTTTTTTATGGCTGTATAATATTCCTCTGTGTGTGTGTGTGTGTGTGTGTGTGTGTGTACATGTGTACACAAACACCGTATCTTTCTCATCCTCATATGGATCCTTAGGTTACTTCTATACCTTGGCTTTTGCAAATATGCTGCAGTAAACACAAGGGTGCATATATCTTTGCCAATTAGTGTTTTTGTTTTTAATTTTTTGAGGAACCTCGATACTGTTTTCCACAGTAGCTACACCAGTTTGCATTCCCACCAGCATTGTGCAAGGGTTCCTTTTCCTCCACATCTTTGCCATCACTTGTTATTTCTTGTCTTTTTAATAGTAGCCATTCTTATAGGTATAAGGTGATATCTCATTGTGATTTTAATTTGCATTTCCCTGGTGATTAGTGATGTTGAGCATCTTTTCATATGTCTTTTGGCCATCTGTATGTCTTCTTTGGAAAAATGTTCATTCAGGTCTTCTGCCCATTTTCAATAGGAATTTTTGTCTTTTGGTTGTTGAGTTGAATAAATTCTTTGTATATTTTGGATATTAGCTATTGGATATATTATTTGCAAATATCTGCTCCCATTAAGTAGGTTTTCTTTTTCCTTTGCTGTGCAAAAGCTTTTTTTGGTATGGTCCCAGTAGTTTTTGTTTTGTTTTGTTTTTAAGATTTTATTTATTTATTTTTAAAGAGAGAGGAAGCAAGAATAAGGAGAGGGGCAAAGGGAGAGTGAAAGAATCTCAGGCTGACTCCATGCTGAGCACAGAGCCCAACACAGGGCTTGATCCTATGACCCTGAGATCATGACCTAGGTGGAAACCAAGATTCAGATACTCAACCAACTGAACCACCCAGGTGCCCCCCGAGTTGTTTACTTTTGCTTTTGTTTCCCTTGCCTGAAGAGACCTATCTAGATAAATGTTGCTAAGGCCAATGTCAAAGAGATGACTGCCTGTATTTTCTTCTAAGGTTTTATAGTCTCAGGTCTCCAATTTAAGTCTTTAATCCATTTGAGTTTATTTTTGTGTAGGGTGTAAGAAAGTGATCCAGTTTCTTTCTTTTGCATATAGCTGTCCAGTTTTCCCAGTACCATTTATTGAAGAGACTGGCTTTTCCCCACTGTATATCCTTGCCTCCTGTGTCATAGATTAATTGGCCATGTAAACTAGAGTTTATTTCTGGGATACCTATTCTGTTACATTGTTCTATGTGTCTATTTTTGTATCAGTACCATACTGTTTAGATTACTACAGCTCTGTAGTGTATCTTGAAAACTGGAAGTGTGATACCTCTAGCTTTGTTCTTCTTTCTCAAGATTGCTTTGGCTATTCAGGGTCTTTTGTGATTCCATACAGATTTTAGTATTGTTCTTGTTTTGTGAAAAGTGCTGTCGGTATTTCTCAGTCTTGGCTCTCCCTAGGTTAATTTGTGTTTATTGTCTCTGTTGCCTTACCCTTTTCACCCTCAGCCCACCTGCAGTCTGTTTCCTGCCTCCATTTCAGTATTCACTGGTTTCCATAGGTTAGCATTGACTTCCAAGTTACCAGATCCTTTGAAAAATTTTCAGTCCTGGTTTTATTGCCCCTCTGCTTCAATTAACATTCATTCAGACTATTCCCTTGGTTTCAGGATACCACCCTCTCCTGGGTCTATTCTCTGTCCACTCCTTCTCTGTCTCCTTCCTGCTCTGTTCTTCCCATTCCTACCCTCCACTGTTTTCTTGCCATATTGGCTTTCTCACTGTACATACTATTCCTGGGTGATCTCACGTACTTCATACTTCGGTGATTTCAACTCTAAGGTGTATCTGAGCTCTGCCTTCACAATCTCTTTTGTGTTGACCTGGATGGCCTTTAGGCACTTAGCACATCTTAAATTGAACTCTCTTAATCTCCCAGCCTCGTTTCCAGACCTTTTCTTTATCCAATATTCTTTGTATAAATTGGGTGGCCTCACTCTTCATCATGTATTCCAGACTAGTCAAGCTTGACTCCTCCCTGCTGATTTAACCTAAGTACTCAATCTCTTGTCTCCTCTCCAGCCACCAGTGTCTTAGTTCAGACCTTTAGCATCTATCATCTGGACAGCCACAGTAACCTCCTGTACGGTTTCTCTTTCTGCAGTGCATCTTTTACATGGCCACCATAGTCCATATAGAACAAACCTGGCTGTGTCTTTTCCCTACAAAAATATGACTCATCACCTACAGACTGCAAGCTCCTTAGAGTGGTCTTCAGGCCTCTGAGTTGGTCTCCTGCTCCTCCTCTCTAAGCCTCATTTTCAGCCACTTCCTTCTCGAAATTTTAGCTTCCAGCAGCTCCAAACCATGTGTTGTATATACCCCTGTATATTCCCAGTATACTCCCAGGTAGATATCATGCATTTTCTTAGTTCTGTGCATATACTCATGTTCTTTCCTACCTGCAAAGAAAGCCAGGTCTTTCTACCCCCATCCCCTGTCTTTTACCTAACTACTGCTCTTTCATCCATGAAGAGAGTAGTTCTTTACTATTTTAGGGGTGGTAGAAACCTTTGAATGTGTGATAAATACCTTAGAGCCTCTTTCTAGAAAAATACATATAACCCTCAAATTTGCACATGATACAACCTTCAACTAAGGTATTCCTAATGCATCCTAAATACATCCTATCTCTCTACATACCTGTTTGATCTCCCTTTTTCCGTATTTTACATTATGTATATATTTCTACCATTGCATGCCCCTTGTGACATTATCATTATTTAGTGTCTCCACCACTACGCTTCAAGTTCCTTGAGGGCGGTGACTATCTTACTCATCTTTGTATCCCCAGCACTTAGCATAGCACATATAAATTATCACCAAAAAATTGAGGTTGACTCTTCCTTAAGAACAAACCATCTTTCACCTTGGACCATTTACCTATTCAGCGAACATTAATGGAAAGCCTACCATGTGTCAGGCATTGTGCAGGGTGCTGAGAATACAGATTAATATTCAAACACCCTTGTCCTCGCAGAGCTAACACCTAAGAAAGTGTGTTTAAATTAGACATTACAAAACTGTGTGGCAAATGCTTTGGAAATACAAGATCGAATAGGATTATATAAAAAGAGCAACACATCTTTGAGAGGTCAAAGGTGGCCTTCCAGAGGTAGTAATAATTAAGTTAAGACTTGTAGGGACTGGAGAGAAGTTCCTGTCAAAGGACAATGTGCATGGAAGTCTTTATAGGAAAGAAAGAGTATTGTGTCTAAAGAACCATAGGCAGTTCCATATGGCTGAAAATATGAATTTGGTGAACATGAGGGACACAAGAGGCTGGAAGAGTCTTCTAAACCATGCTGAAGAGTTTATGCTTTCTCCTAAACAAAGGCATTAAAGAATTTTATTCTTAACGTTCCTAACAGAAGAAAAGAGGAGTTATGGGGCACCTGGTTGGCAAAGTTGATAGAGCATCTGACTCTTGGTCTCCAGGTGGTGAGTTCGAGCCTTACAAAGGGTGTAGAGATGACTTTAAAAATAAGACAAAACTGTTTAAAACAAAAAAGAAAAAAAGAGGAGCTGTGTCAGAGTGTGTGCATGTGTATATACAGAGAAGGTTCTGCTCACCAGTAAAAAAAAAAAAAAAAAAAAAGCTTTTAGAACACCAAACAGTGCTGTCATGTGCCTACCATCTGATGCCAGCTTGAACCAAAACTGACGAAGTGGGATCCTGCAATCTCTTGGCTTTACATTGTTAGGGAAACCATATTGTGGAAAAGCTAAGAAAGCTCCATGAAAGAAAATACATTAAAAAATCAGTTTTTCTACCATTTTCCTCTTTCCTTTTTTTTTTTTTATTTTAACTCCTTTCCCATAAAGTTTTGTTTTTCTAAATACTTGCAAACAGGGATATAAGAGGCAAGTTTCACTGGCTCCTTTTTTGTTTGCAAGCTTCTCTAGCTAAAATGATAATCGTAAATTGCAGGAAAAAAATATACTTTTATTTTTGCCTAACATAAACAATGTTCTAAAACATGGATGATTTCAAAAATTGACGAGCATTTTAACACCTTCTCCCAGTGTTGTGGGCTTTAATAAATAGATCTTATATAAGTGGATCTTGTGTTTAATCTTGGAAACAAGTTAATTGTCTGGTTAACAGAACTTTTATCTCAAAATAGTCTGTGTTGGGCATTTCTCAAAAGATTATGTATATTGACATTTGATCTCCTCCTCCTCCAGATACTTTTCTTTGGATTTGGGTGGCTTTTCTTCATGCGCCAACTGTTTAAGGACTACGAGGTAAGAAGAGTTCATTTTGGTTATACTGTTATTGTGTGAATCTAGATTGTTTTAAAATGGGCAAGAATGGTGGCTCAGTCCAGTAAGCATCCAACTCTTGGTGTTGGCTCAGGTCGTGATCTTAGGGTCAGGAAATCAAGCCCCCTGTTGGGCTCTGTACTTAGCATGGAGGCGACTTGAGATTCTGTTTCTCCCTCTCTCCTCTTGTGCAAGTGTGCTCTCTCTCTCTCTCTGAAATAAATCTTTAAAAATAAAAATGAAATGGACAAGAAAAATATCTCTGTCCAAAAAGAGTCATGTTCACTTCCAAGGTAGGAAGTTTTAGCCAAATGAGTACCATATAATTCTTAAATTGGAGACTATGATTAGTTGACTTAAAAAAATAAATAAATAAAAAATAAAGGCAGGCTCTGTGTAACCCAGGAGCAAAACTGACATGCCTTAGTAATATCAGTATAAAGAACAACAGCAGACAGTTATTTTTTTTGAAGAGAATTTAATTTACAATGTCTTATAAATGTTCCCATTCATTTGGGTATCTGACCTTCAGTGTTAATAACCTAAGTCATCCTAAATTAATATCAAAATCTTAAGGCTGATCTGGTTCTTAAGCCAGAAGTTCATAGAAACACCAGCCTAGACTGGACATTTCCTAATTAATCCTTATTTAGTGATAAGCTCAATGGTTGTGGACTACTTTTAGGTCGTTTCTAGGATGTTCACCATTAAACCTTCCAAGGAGTTTGGTTTGTGGTCTGAAAGAGCCCAGGATTCTAGAGTCTGCTCTGCTCAATACTTCAAGGCCTCCCAGGGGAGGTTCCAGAACTGGCCCAAGGTCTGAAGAGTGTTGAAGAAACCCTTTTAGCACTAACCTGTGTGTGTGTGTGTGTGTGTGTGTGTGTGTGTGTGTGATCTTTTTTAAGTCAGTGCACATCAGGAATTCTAAGTGCTGCTTCTTGCCCTGTCACTTCAGGCTGTGCTTTAAATTCTCCATCCACAAGAGGATGATGGTAATAGTGCCCTATGATTTAGAAATACTACCTACTTCCATCTATTTCTTTAGCTCCAAGCAAGTTGCTATTATAGCCCTGTTTCCAATGACTTGAGAATTTTTTCATTAAGTTTTCTGACTTGTGACCAGATTATTAATTCAATATTTCACGCAAGGAAATGACTTGTATTCTCTATTTGACTTTTAATAGGTTCGTCAGTATGTGGTACAGGTGATCTTCTCTGTGACTTTTGCATTCTCTTGTACCATGTTTGAGCTCATCATCTTTGAAATCTTAAAAGTATTGAACAGCAGGTGAGTGAGTACTAATCAGCCCTTCTCATGGAGAGAACTGTGTGATGAGATGGAAGACTTACCTGAATTCCATAGCTGAAAAAATCCACTGTGTGGTTAGTTTAGTCTCAGTTGCTGTAAAAATCATAGCAAGTTTGGGTCCCAATCACCTAGTAACTGGTTTGACACCAATTGTGAAATAAGAGAAAAGAAAAAAAAAGTCTGACCTTTAGCTCTAATGAGAGCTAATTGAGAGGCCTAATTGAGAATGAAGCTGTGAGAACCTAGGTCCCAGGCTTCACACCAGAAGTTTTATTCTTCTCAGGATGCTCTTTGAATCCTGCTAATGGCCCTTCATATTGTTGTGCTAATGAAAAAAATCTCTACCTGAAAAGATGAGAATTGCTCAGAGTTAGTTAGGAATGGGCTTCTCTGAAGTCTGAACTCCAGCTTTCACTTAAGTTACCTTCGTTGATTTCACAGGTGTGGTGGAGTCTGATTGAACTTAGTCTTCTTTAAAGCATTTTTTAAAAGCAACTCCTATTCCCCTCCAAATAACAGGCCTGTTTATTAGACAGCCTGTCCAAAATATTTCTTGCTTGTTAACTGCAAGCTTGAGTTCTTTTAGACCATTGTTTGTGTGTAGAGTACATCAGCTATTCTATGTTGACTTTTGTAAATTTTTATCCCTGTATGGAAAAATCTTTTAATAAAGTGGCATTTGACTCTGTAATCAGGAATCAGTGCTGAGCTAAGCTGTGTAACTTGTTCCAGACTCCTGATACTTGAGACTTACAGAGAGATGGTGTTCTCAGATTCCTTTGAGAATCAGAGTTGATAATTAATGTCTCTTGATAAATCAAGAATTTGTAGTATGATAAAACAAGAATGTATCCTGACGCTTACTTTAACTAGTTCTTTAATAATCCAAACCTTTTTTGGATGAGCAGGATATAGATCCTATGACTGTCAAGAATAGACAAGTGTTCTTTTACTTACTAATTACAAATTATTAATCACAACCAGGAACTTCCACTGCTCTCTACCCAGAGGTCAGCAAGTCATTCTGTAAAGGGCCAGATAATAAACATTTTAGGCTTTGTAGATTATACGGTTTCCATCACGATTACTCAGCTGTGCTGTTGTAGAGCGAAAGTCAGCCAAAGGCGATGTATAAACAAATGGGTGTGGCTGTGTTCCAATAAAATGTCACTTATAAAAGCAAGTGTCTAAATGAATGAATGAATGAATGAATGAATGCAGGTGTCTGGCAAGCCATAGTTTGCCATTCTCTAAGTATGAAAAGAAAAGATTATGCCTCAAATATTCTACAACCAAAATTGTTTTTGGTAGACGATGTCCCGCCTTTTAACTCCTTTATAATTAATCTATAGAGTAAGACACATCACTCAGTTACTTTGCTATTTATTTCTTAAATACTTAACCTTAAAGAATATAAGAAGTTGCATTACTAAAATCTGGTTGTTCTTTGGGTGCTTTTTGGGGGGTTGGGTTTGTATAGACTGAGACACATTCAGTTACACCTATTTCTTTTATACTAACACTTGGCCCTACTACGTAACAGAAGTATGGGCCTTGATCATGTGTTATTTTGGTGCACTGACTTCATTCAGAATAGTTCTCAAAGAAGAATCTTGGTCCTAACAAAGAGTTAGGACACCTCTGAGCAGTTTGACACCTCTGAGCAGAAATGCTGTGGCCTCCTACTTAGATATATAATCTTGTTAGGACCCTTAATTTTCTCAAGAGAATGTCATTTACTTTCAGCTTAAAAAAAAAAAAAAGTTAAAAAACGTGTTTGTTTTTAATTGGCAATATGGGTCACACTTGTCATTTCAAACCCACTGCCTCCCAATATCTTTTAGAAATTTAGCTGAAATACTAAGTACAGTTGCCTAGAAAATGTGTAGCTTATTTGTTTCTCTGGATGCTCTAAAGTGGGTTAATCCAGAGAAATAAAAAGCTGTCAATAGATCTAGACTAAATGGTATTGGCTTTTTGTTAGCAGAGCTTTTAATGAATAGCTTTGTTTTATGATGGCTTCCACCTATATTGGGGGAAACAGTAAAAAACCACCCTCTGAAACTCATCTTGATGTTTCTCTTTAAAGGATGTTGTTGAAGACCTTGTTAATTGCCTTCACATTTCTTCTTTAGGAAATCTTTGGAGTAATTTCATTATGGTCTTGGTATACTTCAGTAATAGTAAATCAGTAATAATTATACTTCCTTGAAGCAGTTGGTTTCCCATAACACTGTCATTTACTTAACTGATCAAATTTTCTATTTCTCATCAACCATTAGAAACTTCAAGCTAAATTTTTGATCCATTAATATCATGTTTCTAGAGCTCTGTGGTGTGCATTTTCATAATACTCATCAGCCCTGGCCTTCTTTTATACCTATCTTTTCCCTTGTTTTTCCTTTCTTTTCCTACTTTCTTACAGTTTATTTTATTATCCTATATTTTATATATCTTCATAAGGCACTTAACCACTTAACTTTTTGAAACAAGGCCCAAGTGTAAGTTTAAAATTAGCAAATACAAAAGACACGATCAAGAAAGTGAACAGATTCCCCAAGAATGGGAAAACATTTTTGTAAATCACTTACCTGATAAGAGACATCTATCTAGTATATATGAAGAACTCTTACTAGTTCAACAATAAAAAGACAACACATTGAAAAATGGGTAAAGGATCTAACTAGGAGTTCCTCCAAATAAGATACACGTATGCCAATAAGCATATGAAAAGATGCTCAGCATCATCAGTCGTTTGCAGGGAAATGGCAGTCAAAATCATGACAAGATACCACTTGACACCCATGAAGGTGGCTATAATCAAAGTCAGTAACAAGTGTGAGCAAGGCAATGCAGAATTTGGAACCTTCCTATACTACTGGGGAGAATGTAAACTGGTGCAGCCACTGGAAAATAGCAACAGTCCTCAAAAAATTAAATAGTTATCATATGACCCAGCAATTCCACTCCTGGGTACATACTAAAGAGAAATGAAACATGTCCACACAAAAGTTCATACCCAAGTGTTCATAGCATCGCTGTTTATAATAGCTTAAAAGTGAAACAATCCAAATGTCCAGCAACTAACGAATGGATAAATAAATATGGCATATCTATATAATTGAGTGAATATTATTTACCTATAAATAAGAATTAAGTACCTTGAAAACATTATGCTAAGTGGAAGAAGCCAGACTTAAGATGACATGCATAGGCAAATCCATAGAGACAGAAAGTAGATTGGGGGTTTCCCAGGGCTGGGGCAGTGAGGAGAAAAGGAGAGAGAATGGGAACAATTTCACTATGGAGTAATGAAAAATGTCCTAAAATGTATTGTGATGGTTGTACAACTTTATGAATATGCGAAAACCATTGAATTGTACACCTTAAATGGGTGGATTCTATCTCAATAAAATTGTTATTTAAAAAAAAAGTCCACGGTCAGGGGGTGGACAAAATTGGTGAAGGGGAGTGGGAGATACCGGCTTCTAGTTATGGAATGCATTAGTCATGGGAATAAAAACCATAGCATCAAAAATAAAAGTCCTAAAAATATTTTAATCAATTCACAAAATACAGTTCATAAGCATTAATAAAAGTAGTCATGCAGATCAAATGTTTATATTGAAGATGCAAAAGAAATATTTAAGTCTTTATAGCACATTACTATTTATAGCGATTACTATTGACATTTATTTTCTTTTAATTATGAGACTCCCGGTGATAAATGAAACAATAGTCATATTCTACCAGTAATAGTATATGTTGATATGTTATTATACACTGCCTATGAATATGACTAGAGCATTTCCATTCTCATTTAAATAAGGAAAATTTTTAGAAAGTTAGGATGTTCGTATATACTTTTCAGGACTCTATAATATATTCTTTAACCTCTATAAAGAAGCAGACAGTAACAGCCTACTTGACTAATTGGATGGGATATATTCAGTATTGAGTTCAGAGTAAGAAATCTTTAAGACTAAAGAGAATGAAAGTTGCTGCCTTCTTCCCCTCCTAGTGATATTCTTTAATATTTATTTCAGTTCCCGTTATTTTCACTGGAAAATGAACCTGTGTGTAATCCTTCTGATCCTGGTTTTCATGGTGCCTTTTTACATTGGCTATTTTATTGTGAGCAACATCCGACTATGTGAGTATTTGTAAACGTATTTTACCCTCTCATGTCAGCACATAGATTGAGATGAGGATTTGTGGGGATTGAGGCTGTGGAGAGCTTCATTTCTATGTTACTTTCAGTAGCGACTGTTGTTTAGGGATGCCTCGCATGCAGCATCTTAAGAAGTTTGGCGCAAAATCAATGTTGACTGATTAGATAATTTGTGCTGCTACAGCTGTATTTCTATTTCCACTATAGTATCTCCCTTAACCCACATCTTAATTTCAGCCAAATGCCTCTTACAGTGATTAGGATGCTTTCTCTAAAAACTTTTATTCCATCACTCATTTGTCAAGTGAACAAGCCAGCCAAATATTAGTATGATTCCATATCTGTAAGTAGAACAAGCTCTTTAACATAGATCTGTTTTACCTTACTGTCCTTCTCCTCTTTCCTAGTACATAAACAGCGTCTGCTCTTCTCCTGTCTCCTGTGGCTGACCTTCATGTACTTCTTCTGGAAACTGGGAGATCCATTTCCCATTCTCAGCCCAAAACATGGTGAGTATATATGTAGTGGGGAGAAGGAAATAATTGTTTATCATTTCCTAATTTTAAAAAACAACTATTTTTAAACTTCTGATTGTGGGAAATATAGCAAATTATTTCTCTAAAAACAGTATGGTTTTATTTATTTATTTATTTTTTTAACAGTGTGGTTTTAAACTGAATTTCCCTTCATCCTAGGAAATATCAAATACTGGCTTTGGAAACTACTTCTGTGATTTTATTTATTTTTTTTTTTTTTAAAGATTTTATTTATTGATTTGACAGAGAGAGATCACAAGTAGACAGAGAGGCAGGCAGAGATAGAGAGAGAGAGAGAGAGAGGGAAGCAGGCTCCCTGCCGAGCAGAGAGCCCGATGCGGGACTCGATCCCAGGACCCTGAGATCACGACCCGAGCCGAAGGCAGCGGCTTAACCCACTGAGCCACCCAGGCGCCCCTACTTCTGTGATTTTAGAGCAGGAGTTTTTGACCTTCAGTTAGTGAATGAACTTCCAAGAGAGTAAGGGGTGGGGAAAGTTGTCTTTATATTTAAAATTCCTATTATTGTATGTGGAATTATCAGGAAATATTTGTATGTATATTTGGAGCTGAAGTATCCACAAGCTTTTATTAGACTCCCAAAGGGGTCAGTGACCCAAAAGATAAATGACCACTGCTCAAGTAATGATAAATACTGTCTTTAGGGAGTATATGTATTTTAGGAAAGAGCAATGACATAAAACATTCAAAATTAGTGGATAAAGAAAAGCTTTCTAAGTATCAGTGTCTCTCCTTACACAATAAAGTTCATTTTAAATACAAGAGCAGGAGCGCCTGGCTGGCTCAGTTGGTAGAGCATGCAACTCTTGATCTTGGGGTCATGAGTTGGAGCCCCTTGCTGGGTGTAGAGATTACATACATAAAACTTAGCAAAATCTTCACATATAAGAGCAGATCATAGAGCCCTATTTTCTGTGCTAAAAACCATGAACAATAATCTGTCATCTAATAGTCCTTCCAGAACTACTTCAGAAATATATACATGAATATAAGTATAGATCTGTATGCCACCTGTAATGAATATATTGGCACTTTGATACTGGAGATTTAAAAAAAATACACATTTGTTCATTTCACTGTCCCGCTATGTCAGGATTCTTATAGCAGAAAACAGAATCTACTTTAACAAATTTAAAGCAGAAAGTGATTTATTTCAGGTTATCAGGGAGTTAATAGAATTTTTAGGAAAGCAAGATGTCAAACTTAAATGCTGCATAGTGAAGAGTAACATTCAACCATACAACAATAGTCACTGGAGAAAACCCCACTGAAGTTGTCACTATCACTGGGGACCTGTGACATCAGGGATCAGATAGTAGGACTGCTGCAGTCCCAAATGCTGTCCACACTCCCATGTTATTCACTTCTGCCTCTGACATCTCACATGGGCATTTGAATTTGATACAACCTAGGTACATTCAGAACCTTAGTTTCAAGGAAATCTGGGAAAGAATATTTGGCTTTCCAGATTCTGTAATACAAGAAGACATGCCTGGAAGGCATTAGAATGAATGTTGAGTAAACCAGTGTCTAGAATCTACCATGAATCCATCTGTGTCTACTCCTTGCCTGTAGCAGGGATCTGGAGGAAAGAGGTTATAAGATTGTGCTGCAGGAGGATCAGAAAAAATGCACAGTTTTAAAAAGCATATACAGGGGTGCCTGGGTGGCTCTCAGTCAGTTAAGTGTCTGCCTTCAGCTCAGGTCATGATGTCTGGGTCCTGGGATCAAGTTTCTAGAGCTATTCTCAGGACATTCCTTCACATTTTGTTTTTCTAGAAAATACCTATTCTTGCAATATTTAACTCTTGTCCATTCTAGATTTTTCTGGCCATCATGAAGATACTAATTGCTCCCACCTCAGTGTACTTACATCACCTATAGCAATTTTAATTACTTGTTACCTTTTCTGACTTCCTCATTAACTCACAAACCCCCTGAGGACCCTGGGGTCAAAAACTACATCTTACTTATCTTTCTATCCACAGTGTCTAGAGGGGAACCTAGCACATAAATGTTTAATGCATGTTTATTAAATCAGTGAATAAAAAAAACAATCTTAGTCTCTCCAAAGTACTAGATAAGTTTAAGAATGTAACACTCTGGATAGGATTTTAGGATTTGCTAATATGATTTGCATGCACATGTCCATATAGGGAAAGATTTGGAGTACAGAGGCCCTGACAATATAGCTCTCCTATAAACTATTTCAAGGAAGCCCAAGAGAGAGAAATTTGTGATATCAGAAATGAGGGACAAGAATTATAAAAGGACCCCAAAGCTGCTTTCAATAATAGCACAAGCTAACACACAGCCCAAAGACAAGACTCTGGTGTCTGTCTCCAGCTTTCTTCTTGTGAGCAGTCAGTTCACACGACCTGTGTAGCCAGACCGTGCCTGAGGGGAGATGAAGACTATCACATCTTTGGTATCTTCATCTTTTTTTCAAAATTCTGTAGAGATATCCTAAAGAAGACATTAGCGGGAAGAGCTAGGGAAATAGTTTCTGTTTTAGTTTCCCTTTGTGCTCCAGGAAATAAGCATTTTGGTTTTATGTCCAGTGTCTTCATTTGACTAAATGAAGTCATTCATTTGACTAAAAGAAGTAAGTAGAAAGAACAGTTTAGGCAATGGATAAGAAGCAGCCAGGCTTACCCTGCCATCTTAGAGCTTTTCTAGGACTATCTCAACAACCAGTATGATTTATTACTGTAGAGACCACAAAAAGACTGCAGGACCCCATCCTTACCTATAATGAAAAGATGTCTGTGGAAGTACTCCTTGTGCAGTGCCTGAACCAAGGAAGATGAGAAGGCATTCCATACTGGGAAGGAGTAAAGGAGGCTAAGAAGGTTTATGAAGTGCACAAAAAAAAAAATAATAAATAATAAATAAAAAGTGTATGAAACTAGAAAGAATCTGCGTGAGCAAATGGCAACAGTGAGATGGTTTTCCACATGCCACTTCATCCACCTGACTTACACTTATTAGCTAGAAGACAAGTAACAATTGACCTTAGTTTTATAGAAATGCTAAGATTACGTAGATCGTATCTTCAAAGTACTTTAGACCAGGAAAAGATATTTAATAAAGGGACACCACCTTAAAGGGAATAAAAGTAGAGGGGGCATTTTTCTAGTTTTTTATATTCAATAACCTACATTAATCCCTTGATTTTTTTTGTTACTGGATAATTTTATAGTCAATAAACATTAGCTGAACACCTTCCATGTGTCAGGCAGTAAGAAAATCAAAGATCAGTAAGACATGATTCCTTCCTATAAAGAGGATGTAGAGAGGTATGTGGGAAGTAGAGTCAACAGAATTTGGATAAGGATTTAGTCATTCATATAACATTCCACAAATATTTTTTGAATACCTAGTTTTATTTTAAGTGCTGGGGACACAACCATGAATGAAACAAACTTGGTTTCTGCCCTCCTGAAACTTACCCTCTGGCAGGGAGGACTGAACAGTAAATATATAAACAAATAATTGCCAGTTGTGATTATTATCAAGGAGCAAACAGGTTGGGGTGCCTGGGTGGCTCAGCAGGTTAAATCCTCTGCCTTCGGCTCAGGTCATGATCTCAGGATCCTGGGATCAAGCCCCGCATCGGGCTCTCTGCTCAGCGGGGAGCCTGCTTCCTCCTCTCTCTCTCTGCCTGCCTCTCTGCTTACTTGTGATCTCTGTCAAATAAATAAATAAAAATCTTTAAAAAAAAAAAGAAAAAGAAAAAAGGAGCAAACAGGTTACTGTGGTAGACAACAATGTAGATAAGGATGTCAAATTAGATGCCAGTGGTTAGAGTCAGCCTTTATGAGGAAGTATTTAAGCTGAGATTTAAAGGACAAGACCAAAGCTAGACCCAGCAAGAAGGCACAAGAGACTTCATATAAAGCCCTGAGGTTAAAAAAAAAAAAAAAAAAGACTGGTACATTCAAGGGGGAGCAAGAGGCAGAACGGAGACTAGTGGTATAGACCTCTATTTTGGTGACTAGATAGTTGATGTCATTTTCTAGAAAAGGTAGTGCAGAAGGAAGATAATTCAAACTTGGCATATGTTGAATTTGAGTTGCCTATGCACATCCAAGTGATATTCGGCAGGCAGTTGGATACAGAAGTTGGCAACTTAAGAGGAAGGTATGGATTTATTAGTCCTTATGGAAACAATTCCAGGAATCGAAAGAATTAGGCCCCATCAGCTAAACACCATTGGATAAACCTGGGAAAATAGCCAAGATCACCCATGGAAAATGTATAGAGTGAAATGAAACAGGATCGGGCCCATTCTGAGCAGAGAAGACCCAAGATAATAACAACTAGAGAAGTTAAAGGGTAACTGAGAGAAATGGTATAAAAGCCAAGAAAGAAAAATAATTTTAAATAACAATGATTCAGTTGCCTGGCTAGCTCAGTTAGTAGAGCATGACACTAAACAACAATGATTCATGTCATGAAAGATCGAATAAAGCATGGATTGGAAAATGTCATTGAATTTTACAACCAGAAGAAAATTCATGACCATATTATAGTAATGGTGAAGAGCATAGGTTGTAGAGCTACACTGCTTGTTTTTGAATCTTAACTCTGCCACTAGCTGTGTGGCCTTGACTAAGTTACTGACCCTCTCAGTGCTTCTGTTTCCGCATCTATAAAGTGAGGTTTTCCATAATACCTGCCTCATAGGGCTGTCATGAGGAGTAAATGAGTTAATACTGTTTCAAACAGTTCCTGGTGCATAACAGGCATTGATGAATGTTGCTCTACTATTGCCATTATGATTATTAGTGAAAGCAATTTTCTTCAGGTAGGAGAACGGAATGGAAGCCGAATGGCAGCCAGTTGAAGAATAAATGGAGGTGAAGAAGAGGTGATAGTAAGTGTGAGTTCCTTTTAAAAAGTTTGGCTTTTATAGGGGAAATAGAGGATTGGCGACTAGAGATAAACTCAAGGCTAAGGACAGACTTTCTTAGGAAGGAGACTTGAAACTGAAGGAAAAGAACCAGCCAGGAAGGAAATATTGAAGATAGAGAGGACAGGTGATGGAACAAGATTCTGGAGGCAGTAGAAAGGAAATAAGATCAAAGCACAGGTAGAGAAGTCTTAGGTTTCCACACTGTCTTGTTTGAGGGGGACAAGTTGAGAAGATGATTGCAGATGTGAATATAGTAGAAGGAAGTATATATCTAATAACTTCTATAATAGGGGCATTAGCTACTGAGAACAAGGATTGGGAAAATGAATTCAAGGTTTGCTGCAGGATGGGAGTGGTGCAACACCTGGTGGCTCAGGCGGATACATGTCTGACTCTTGGTTTCAGCTGAGGTCATGAGCTCAGTGAGATCCTGTGAGATCAAGTCCGGTATCAGGCTCTGCACTCAGTGGGGAGTCTGCTTGAGGTTGTCTCCCCCTCTCCCTCTGCCCCTCCCCACCATGTGCTTGTGCTCGCTCTCTCTCTCTCTCTCTCTAAAATTAAAAAAAAAAAAAATTTAATTTAATTAATTTATTTATTTGAGAGAGAGAGAGAACAGAGGGAGAAGGAGAAAAGACTCCCCTCTGAGCAGGGAACCGACATGGGGCTGGATCCAGTACCCCAAGATCACGACCTGAGCTGTAGGCAGATGCCTAACTGAGTCACCAAGGCACCCCTAAAATAATTTTTTTCTTTTTTTTTTTTTTAAGATTTAGTCTGCTGAGGGAATTGGGAAGAAATGGCTGACCAAGGGCAGGAGAAGAATTCCTCAGTAGTGTTGTAAGCTCTATTAAGACTAGAGACCATAAATCTGTAATGGCACCAATATCACAATGCACTCTAGGTGTTTTAGCAGCTCAGTCATGGGCACAGGGAAGATGGAGTGTTAGATTGATCCAAGATAGGGAGTTTTCAGGATCAGCGCTGAAGAAAGACAGTCAGGACAGTGTCCTAATGAGAGAAGTTGAAGCAAGCAAGCTTGGAGCTTAGACTCTGTGAAGAAGGAAATGGAAGGTAGGAAAAAGCAGAAGATTATAGAGACCAGAGGTCACAAAGAGCTCTAAAATGGTGTAGTGGAAGCACAGGAGCAGGAGGACCAGAATATTGGAATTTCGGTTTCAAAGCAAACAAAATTCCTGAATGGCAGCTCTGGTGTTAGGCCAGAGTGAATAATGCTGAAGTGGATTCCATCCTTGAAACAGGAAGGGAAAACAAAACTAGTTTTGTTCTGTGATTCCAAGCTTCCTGGCTTATTCTTCAGCATTGCTTCCTCTCATTTATCCCAAATATCCATGGCATTTATTTTAACTATTAATTATCAGCATTCTCAAATAATCAGAAACAATTGATAATTAGAATACAACTGATAATCTAAAACTCACGTATCTGCCTTTAAGATACTCATGTATAAATTCAGCTCATCTGTGAGATACTTTATGTGTTTACGGACAAAAATGAGTAAGACATAAGCTTATAAGACTTAAGAGCTTATTATGACCTAAGGGGGAAGTGTGTATCTTGATGGTAAGTATAGTGGAAAGTGTTACCTGGTATTTCTACTTTTCCAGCAGATTTACTTTCCTAACATTATTTTGCCAAAGCTTTTACTACTAAAAGTGCTTTGCTAGAGTTCACACTACCTTAAGTCAAAACGTATTATCTGCAAATACTATTTTAGCATTACCATCGCCCAGCAATAGAGATGATTCTGGAAGCATATGAGATAGGAGGAAAATCCATAGACTTTTATATATTTATTATGGAAGATCTACATATAGATAATTGAATTTTTAAATTTAATATTGATCATTAAAATTTTGCTTATTTAAGTTGTATGTAATGGTTGAGGTTTTCTGTCATTTTTCCCCTTGCAATGCCATTTTATCTTTATCACTTTGATGTTTTTAGGGATTTTGTCCATAGAACAGCTCATCAGCCGGGTAGGTGTGATTGGTGTGACTCTCATGGCTCTTCTTTCTGGATTTGGTGCTGTCAACTGCCCATACACGTACATGTCCTATTTCCTCAGGTAAAAAAGAACTTTGTCTCTTTTTTTTTTCCTATTACTTCATGAATACATATGTCCTAGCATGCCATCATCATTAATACTTAAATATGAGATCTGTGACACTGCTTTTTTAATTCTTCCTTCTGTCTTTAAAAGGCATTGTCCTAGGAATCTCTCCAAATAAATAATCTTATCACTTATATTATTTGCCCTTGGTTTGTCCTACATTCACTTATTTTTAAAATGGTTATTTTGGGGCACCTGAGTAACTCGGTTGAGTGTTCCACTCTTAATTTCAGCTCAGATCATGATCTTGGGGTTGTGAGACTGAGATTGAGCCCCACATTGGGCTCTGCACTCAGCAGAGATTCTGCTTGAGATCCCCTCTCTCCCCCTGCCTCTCCTTTTACCCCCACTCATAGGCATATACTCACTCACTCTCTCTCTCTCTAAAATAAATAAATCTTTTTAAAAATGGTGATTTCAGTCAGATTCTCCTTACTTCCTCTTACACTTTTTTTTTTTTAAGATTTTATTTATTTATTTGTCAGAGTGAGCACAGGCAGACAGAGTGGCAGGCAGAGGCAGATGGAGAAGCAGGCTCCCGCTGAGCAAGGAGCCCGATGTGGGACTCGATCCCAGGATGCTGGGATCATGACCTGAGCCGAAGGCAGCGGCTTAACCAACTGAGCCACCCAGGCGTCCCCCTCTTATACTTTTTAAAGGCACATGTCTCATGCAATGTGAGCTAATCCCCACTTCAGTAAATCAGTTCCTCCTAGAAGTAGAATGGTAGAAGGCAATGCCAAGTTGTAAGAGTGCTTACATGTGCATCATAAATGTCATTGGCTCAAAGCTAAGAAAGACTATAAGAGAGCCAGTTACCTTCCACTGCCCTGAAACTGCAAAACTTTTAGCTATAAAAAAAATGACAGCAAAAGCATTTTTGCTTTTTATAGTCATTTTAGTATTTTCTAGAAAAAGGTCCTTGAATTACTGGGTAACAACTAAGGTTTATGTGTTTCTCCAGCTGTCTTGTATTTATTATGCCCAAGGATGGGATCCCCAAACATTGCTAACAGTTTGTGCCTATTATAGAAATGTGACTGATGCAGATATTCTAGCCCTGGAACGGCGACTGCTCCAAACCATGGATATGATCATCAGCAAAAAGAAAAGGTAAGATATCAGCACATTAAAAAACTTGTACTCCTAGAATTTCTCGACAAGAAATGTGACTATGAATTGGGGCTAACAGGGAATTTCATCTTACTCATTGTTGTAATAAATTAAGGTACCATCAAAGACTTAGTGTCTAGTCTTACATGAAAGAAATTTTCAAATTCCACTTATTTCCTGACTTTAGATAAATTCTCCTGAGATTAGCTATTAATATAATGTTTACATTTGAAGCTATTCTGCGTTGGATGCTCTAAAAGTCTATTGCCCTACATTTTTATAAACTTCTGCGTGCCTGATTTCAATCTTTTCAACTTCCTTTTCTCCAACACTTTGAAAAATCCTTCAAGTCTGCTAGCTATTGTCATTTTATCATTTAAGAAGCACTTTCACAGTGTATGCTCCTAAAGTGGCATTTCTAGAAATCTATATCACAGTGAATCACAGCCTAGGCTGTATACTCAGACCGTCTGAATTTGAATCCTTGGCCCACAATTCACAGTGTGGCCTTGAGGAGTTACTTTATGTCTTGGTTTCCTCATCTGTAAAATGGAAATAATGAGTTGACATGTAAAACTCTTAGAACAGTGAACAACACAGAGCTGAGGAATACTATTGAACTTACTAATAGTCTCTGGAGGACAGTCATTAGGTTTTAGTGTTTTGTCTTCATTTATTCATCCATGTATTTTCATTCTCTTAGTAATTATAGGAAGCCTAGTTTATGCTATGTACTGCACTAAATTCTGAACTCTTAGAGATAGAATGAGGAACAAGATAAGTTACTGGGGTGCCTGGGTGGCTCAGTTGGTTAAGCGCCTGTCTTCGGTTCAGGTCATGATCCCAGGGTCCTGGGATCAAGCCCTGAGACATCAGGCTCCCGGCTTGGTGGGGAACCTGCTTCTCCCTCTGCCTCTGCCCTTCCCCAGCCCCCAACTTGTGTTCTGTCTTGTGTGAGCTCCCTCTCTCTCTGTCTCTGTAACAAATAAAATCTTTCTTTAAAAAAAGATAAGTTACTGACTTCATGAGGCTCATTAGTCTACTGTCTTTTTTAAAGTTCTATTACCCAAATAAAAGCAATGACATAGAGGTTTTAAATTGCATGAGTGTTTCTGCATTTCATGTTTTGTCTTTCAACATTTTTCTATAGTAAGACCCAGAGTCACGTCAAAGAAGGCTTAATATAAGAGATAACATAGACTTTAGAATGATAAAGAGGGCCTGATTTACCAGCTCATTATTGATCTCCATTTCTGTACATCTGTCCTAGAGTATTGATTCACATGTTGGATATACATTTATTCTTTGCATTTTGTTCACATTGATTCTATACAGTTTATTTTACATAAAAATGTAAATTTAGATTTAAAAAACATAACAGTAAGGGCACCTGGGTGGCTCAGTGGGTTAAAGCTCTGCCTTCAGCTCAGGTCATGATCCCAGGGTCCCGAGATCGAGCTCCGCAATGGGTTCTCTGCTCAGCAGAGAGCCTGCTTCCCACCCGCGCTCTGCTCTCTGCCTGCTGCTCTGCCTACTTGTGATCTCTCTGTCAAATAAATAAATAAAATCTTAAAAAACATAACAGTAAAAGCAGCATTATTCAATATTGAAAGATGATTATAAAGGAATAATACTATTTTGGTTCCTGTGATTGTTCTCCCATATACTATACTTCTTTCATTCATATGGAGAGATGAAAGTAATGACCCATGTCAAGTGTGGATGTACACTTTATTTAAGATTTGTTTGAGAGAGTGGGCGTGAGTGCATGAGCAGGCAGGAGGGGCAGAGGGAGAAGCATGCTTCCTGCTGAGCAGGGAGGCCCTCATGGGCTCGATCCCAGGACCGGAACTGAAGGCTTGCTGAACCAACTGAGCCATCCAGGCGTCCTCCATACTGTTTTCCACAGTCAATGCACTAGTTTGCATTCCCACCAATAGTGCACAAGGGTTCCCTTTTCTTCCACATCATTGCCAACACTTGTTATTCTTGTCTTTTTTTATTGTATCCATCGTGGCTGGCATGAGATGATATCTCATTGTGGTTTTGTTTTGCATTTACCTGATTGGTGATGTTGAGCATCTTCTAATGTATCTGTTAGGCATCTGTATGTCTTTAGAATAATGTCTATTCAGGTCCTCTGCCTACTTTTAATCAGATTGTCTTTTTGGTGTTGAGTTGTATAAGTTCCTTATACATTTTGGATATTAACCCCTTCTTGGATACATCATTTGCAAATATCTTCTGCCATTCGGTAGGTTGTCTTTTTGTTTTACTGGTTTCCTTCACTGTGCAAAAGCTTTCTATTTTGATGTTGTCCCAATAGTTTATTCTTACATTTGTTTCCCTCAATAGAGGAGACATATCCAGAAAAATATTTCTAAAGTTAATGTCCAAGAGATTACTACTGGTGTTTTCTTCTAGGAGTTTTATGGTTTCAGGTCTCACGTTTAGGTCTTAATCCATTTTGAGTTTATTTTTACATATAGTGTGAGAAGGTGGTCCAGGTGTATTCTCATGTAGCTGTCAGGTTTTCCCAGCACCATTTATCTAAGAGACTGTCCTTTCCCTTTGTATATTCTTGCCTCCTTTGTTATAGATTGAGTATGTAAGTGTGGATTTGTTTCTGGGCTTTCTATTTCATTCCATTGATCCATATTGTTTTTGATTACTATAGCTTTGTAGTACATCTGGAACTCCAGGACTGTGATACCTCCGGTTTTGTTCTTCCTTCTCAAGATTGACTTGGATATGTGGGGTCTTCTGAGGTTCATTACAAAATTTTGTACAATTTGTTTTAGTTCTATGAAAAAGGCTGTTGATATTTGACAGGGATTGCATTGAATCTGTACATTGCCTTGGATAGTATGGACATTTTAATAATATAAATTATTCCAATCAATGAACATGGAATATCTTTACATTTGTTTGTCTTCTTCAGTGTGTTTTAATCAGTATTTTAGAGGTCTCAGAGTACAGGTCTTCTACTGCCTAGGTATTTTGTTCATTTTTGGTGCAGTTATAAATGTGACTGTATTTTCTTTCTTTCTGGAAATAGTTTATTTCTTTCTTATGATTTTGGATGCCTTTCATTTTTTCTTGTCAGATTGTTACAGCTAGGACTTAGAGTACTGTGCTGAATAAAAGCGGTAAGAATGGACATCCTTGTTCTCTTCCTGAATTTAGAGGGAAAGCTCTCAGTTTTTCACCATTGAGTATGAGATTAGCTATGGGTTTTTCATATACGTCCTTTTTTATGGTGAGATATATTCCTTCTGAACCCACTTTGTTGAGAGTTTTACGATCAAATACTGAGTTTTGTCAAAGGCTTTTCTATTGGGATGAATATATGGGGCTCTTTTATTTTTTTTAAAGATTTTATATATTTATTTGACAGAGAGATCACAAGTAGGCAGAGAGGCAGGCAGAGAGAGAGGGAGAAGCAGGCTCCCTGCTGAGCAGAGAGCCCGATGTGGGGCTCGATCCAGGACCCTGAGATCATGACCTGAGCTGAAGGCAGAGGCTTAACCCACTGAACCACCCAGGCACCCCTATATAAAAGATATATATCTCTCTCTTCATATCATCCTTTTCTTCTACTTAGAGCCTTTTCTTTTCATTCAATGAAGTCCCTTTAACATTTCTTCTAAGGCCAAATTAGTGGTAATGAACTCCTTTAAGTTCTTTTATTTTTTTAAAGATTTATTTATTTATTTGATAGAAAAACACACAGCAAGAGAGGGAACACAAACAGAGGGAGTGGGAGAGGGAGAAGCAGGCTTCCCACCAAGCAGGGAGCCTGATGCAGGGCTCAATCCCAGGATCCTGGGATCACGGCCTGAGCTGAAGGCGGATGCTTAATGACTGAGCCACCCAGGTGCCTCTGAACTCCTTTAACTCTGGGAAACTCTCTCCTTCTATTCTGAATGATAACCTTGCCAGGTAGAGTATTCTTGCATGTAGGTTTTTTCCCTTTCAGCACTTTGAATATATTATACCATTCCTTTTTGTTCTGCAGAGTTTCTGCTGAAAAATCAGACAATAGCCTTGTGGGATTTCCCTTATGTATAACTATTTGCTTGTTGCTGCTTTTAAGAGTCTCTTCAATAGTTGACATTTTAATTACAATATGTCATGGTGTGGACCTCTATGGGTTTATCTTGTTTGGAATTCTTTGCATCCTAGGCCAAGATGTCTGTTTTCTTCCCTAGGTTAGGGAAGTTTTCTGCTATTTTTTAAATAAGTTTCCTGCCCCTTTCTTTCTCTCTTCTTCTGGGACCCCTATAATATGAGTGTTTGTTTACTTGATATTGTCCAAGAAATCCCTTAACCTTCCCTTATTTTTTTTAATTCTTTTTTCTTTTTGCTGTTCAGCTTAGGTGGCTCACATTACCTTGTCCTCTAGATCACTAATTCATTCTTCGGCATCCACTAATCTGGGTTAATTCCCTCTAGTATATTTTTCATTTCAGTTATTATATCCCTCAACTCTGGTTGTTTTTATTTTTTCTATCTCTTTGTTAAAGTTCTCGCTGAGTTCTTTCACCCTTCTCTCCTGTCTGGTGAACATCTTTATGATCATGATTTTATACTCTTTATCAGGCATATTGCTTGTCTCCATTTCATTTATCTCCTTCCGTTCTTTTTATGAGGTTTCATCTTGTTCTTTAGTTTGGAGCATGTTCCTCTCTCTCATTTTGCCTTTCTGTGCCTGTTCTATCAATTTGGTAGAACAGCTACTTCTCTTAAACTTGAGGGAATGCCCCTGTGTATGGTCATCCTCTGTGTAGACTGTGTGGCTGGTAATTTTGGTTAACTGACTGGAGCTGTGGCTGGCATGGGCTGGGGGTCCTGAAGCACTCCATTCTGGGTCTGGGATGTTCAGAGCTGAAGTGGGTGTGGTCCGGGATGGTCCTGGGGCTCTCTGTACAGAGAGTGCCTCAGCAGGATAGCTGAAGGTAAATTGGGGTGGGGAGGGGCACATGTCGTGGGCCTCTCTC